GCTCCTTTATACCGTAATTTCACAAAAAATCATATGAATCGAATTATTAATCATGATGATACTTTGTCAAAATCGACACTTGCTAATGGATTTGCTGAAACCTCCAGTGCTTGGTATAAAAAATTCAATGAACCATACACATGTGAACATCCAAAAAAGTATTGGCTAACAACCAAGAAAAAGGTTGCTGCTATAATCATGCCACCATATGCTATTTATCTTTGGTATAAGTTAAAGAAATACAAAAAAGGAACAGTTAAGAAAGATAATGCGCAAATCTCTTCAGCAGAAAGCAGTAAAGAGGCTAAAGAGAAAGAGTAACATACATATATATATATATATTTATAATATTTTTGTTGTATTATTTTCGCGCTATATTCTTAGAAATTATTAATCTTGCTTTGTTAAATTTTAGAACTAATAACTATTCAGGCGCGTGTGGTATTAGTCCGGGCTTTCTCTTTATTTACGGTACATGGGTTCTGTTCAATAATTCTTTAATAAATATAATAATAAGGCTGACATTATTTTAAAATAGGTGTTCCATTGACTTCTCCTACACCTTATGAATGCAAAGGCACTTGCGGAGTTGCTACTAATATTTCTTCATGTGGAGGCGGATGTGGTAGTGGCGGGTGTGGTGGGGATGGTGGCGGATGTGGTGGATGTGGTGGCGGATGTGGTGGATGTGGTGGATGTGGCGGATGTGGCTGATAATTCCATTTTTATTTTAGCCAATCTAAATTTATTTAGCAATGACGCAACTGCTAACTAGAAAGTAAATAATATTCATTAGGGAGAGAAAGAAGCTAACCATATAGTTATTCTTTATACATGGTTCATTTTCATCAAACTAGTTTTATCTTACATTAATAAATAATGTACGTACAATTGATACTGATTTATTTATTAAAAAGTAAATCGTGGCTAAAGGAACTTAACATAGTTTTCTATAGTGATGCCTTTTTTCAAATTTCATGCGCATGGAATCCTGGCCTGTATTATGTCAGCTTGCCGCTAATGCGGGCCAGAATTATGAGATGCCGAAATATTCCGAAAATTCCGAAATATTCCCGCATATCACTAGTTTTCTAGAGATTAGCTTACAATGAGAGGTTCCTTGAGTTTCTAACTATAAAGAAAGCTATTCCGATAGAATTACTAAAATTAGTATATCGCATTTTCACCTTCATGACTATACTGTATGATTTTTACATATTGCCAGAAACTTTCGGCATTACAACTTTATATGAAAGTAATAGAAATTCTTCGCCAATTGTTATTATGAAATTTATACCCTTCAACTGCGATCTACCATTTAATTATTTTTGAACATAAACGAGATAAATAATAACATAGTAACAAATAACATATCTAAACAATAATCATAAGCTAAATTCAACTTAGATACATACAATTGACGTCAAAACTAATTTACTTTCGCGATTCCGCATTGTCACAATGCTGCATTAATTTCTGCATGAACTGCGTATAATTCGAAATGCTGTAATTTGGCAATTTTGACGTAACCACTCACTATCGAAATCACGATATATTATCGTTAAAATCACTAACCTAACCACTGT